GCTTAGTGTCTTCCTGAAAGGCCACCCAGTTTTGTGCTGGAAATCCAGACACTAGTGTTGTAGGCACTGGAGGTAATCTCTGTTCTGCGGGTTGTGAAGACCATGGGAAAAATGCAGTATCTGAGCCAGAGTGCCCGAGTACCAGGAAAAGTCCCTAATGGCTTCCCTCATCTAGTAGAGGAAGTTCCCTGGCCCCTTCCACTCCCCAGGTGAGACGACGCCCAGCCATGCTTTGGCTCACCCTCCTTGGGCTGCCTTCACTGCCTAACCAGTCCCAATGAGATGAACCAGAAACCTTAACTTGGAAATGCAGACAGTACCTGCCTTCTGCCTCGTTGTAGCTGGGAACTGCGCAGCGGAGCTGTTCCTATTCGACCGTCTTGCCACAAATCCAGTTTAACTTTAAACAAGTTTGTTTCATTAAGACAAATACTCTGTGCTTTGTTATTGATCCTGAGAATTAAGATTTCCAGAATCTGAGACGCTCTTTTTCCCACAAGAAACTAAGCAACATAGGTAATATGTTTCAGAATCCTTTGACAAATTCAGGCTTTAGTCTTACACAGAATCTAAACCATATATGTTAGTGTTCATTTACATTTATTGTGGCATAAAGGAAGAGTTACAGTTTGGTCACTCATGATTTTATTCATATCTCAAAAATCTGGAGAACAGTAAACATTCTTCCAGGCCACAAAGTCTCCTTAGAATTATGAGCCCCACAATGTCTTCAGCTCATTTCTGGTCCTGATAGACACATACCGAGAAAGCAGGAACCCCAACTTTGAAGTGGAGATAGAAGTGGGTCCGGAATATGGGACGAGGTAGGATAGGAAACAACTCTGTGTCAAGAGCTGCTTTACATGAAGAAAGCTAAAACAGATTTATCGCCTTGACACAGCTAACTCGGTTCCCCTAGGCAGCTCTAAAGTGAACACTTGTGATATTCATATTAAGATCCCTGTTGATTACCAAACATAAAAGTGAATTGGGCTATAAGAGGGGAAAGAACGTGAATAGCAGCTGCCACAGATATGGCACCTGCAACGTTTCTCTATGCTGTCTTGTAACAGGTCTGCTTATAAGGCCTTCTATTGCTAGTACATAAAAGAAGGCTTTTCCTGTGTCTGATACATATAGATTTAATAGAAGGAGAAGACTCCTAGACAACATCGTATGAGAAGTACTACCTTGGAGATGCAATAGACTATCAGAGTACTCTTGGCTCGGTTTGCTAAACATATAAAATTGGCATAAACTTAGCCAAGGAATACATAGTCTTGCCCTTTTACAATCCTTTAACAAATCAGTAAAATCAAGGTTTGCAAATATTCATTTTTTACACTTTTATGGAAGATTAAGTTCACTACTATCATTAATATTTTTGGTACCTATTTCGTCATTTTATTTGGAATGAACAAATAAATTATACCACTTTATTCAATAACAAACCACTTTATTCAATAACAAACATGTTTAACAGTCCATACAGTGGTTCTATTTTGTCCTTTTTTTTAAACCAAGTATTTGTCTTTAATTATCTTACTTTCTTCTGTAGCACTTACTTTTCTTTTTGTTGATTGTCCAAAGCTGCCAAAATGCTGCTGAAATGGCCACTGAATATCAGTTATAGAAAATGAGAAAAGAACTAATTAGATTAAATATATTCTTAAATATTTTAGTAAATTTAATATATTTATATTTAGTAGATTTGTTTCATTTCTATCTGCTTTTGCTATTACGATAAAGGTATTTTAGACCAATGAAACAACATGGAGAACCTAGAGGTAAGGCTGCACACCTACAACTTTCTGATCTTTAACACACCTGAGAAAAACAAGCAGTGAGAAAAGAACTCCTTATGTAATAAATGTACTGGGATAACTGGCTAGCCGTATGTCCAAGATTAAAACTAGATCCCTTCCTTTCACCATATACAGAAATCAACAAAAGGTAGAATAGAGACTTAAGTGTAAAACTCAAAACAGTAACAAGTGTGAAAGGCAACCGAGGAACTACCACTGAAGACATAGGCACAGGCAAAGATTTCAGGACAAACATGCCAAAAGCAGTTGCAACGAAAGCCGAAATTGACAAATGGAATGCAATTAAACAAAAGAGCTTCTGCACAGCAAAAAAGAGACTATCAACAGAGTAAACAGATAACCTAGAGAATGGGAAAAAAAAGTTTTGCAAACTCTGCATCTGGCAAAATCTACCATCTAGTATCAACAAGGAACTTAAACACATTTACCAGGAACAAAACCAAACAACTCCATTTAAAAGTGGGCAAAAGTTATGAACGAACACTTTTCAAAAAAAGAGTACATGCATGTAGCCAACAAGCATATGAAAATAAGCTCAACATCACAGCTCATTAGAGAAATGCAAATCAAAGCCACAGTGGGATACCATCTCACACCAGTCAGAATGGCTACTTAATAGGGTAAAAAAACAACAGACACTGGTGAAGTTGTGGAGAAAAAGGAATGCTGATACACTGTTGGTGAGAGTACAAATTAGTTCAACACATTGTGGAAAACAGTTTGGCAATTCCTCAAAAACCTGAAGACAGAAGTACCACTCAACTCAGCAATCTCATTACTAGCTGTTTACCCAAAGGAATAAAAGACATTCTATCATAAAAACACATGCATGTGTTATGTTCAATGCAGCACTTTTCACAATAGCAAAGACATGGAATCGACCTAAATGCCCATCGATGATGACTGGGTAAAGGAAATGTGGTACCTATACACTGTGGAACACTAAGAAACCATTAATAAGCACAAGATCATGTCTTTTGCAGGGACATGGATGGAGGTGGAGGCCATTATCCTTAGCAAAGTAATGCAGGAATAGAAAACCAAATACCACGTGTTCTCATTCGTAAGTGGGAGCTAAAGGATGGGAATGAGTGGATGCATAGAGTGGAGCAAAACACACTGGGACCTGTCAAAGTGTGCAGAGTGGGAAGAGATTGATCAGAAAAAATAACTAACGGGTGTTAGGCTCAATACCTGGGTGACGAAAGTAATCTGTACAACAAACCCCCATGATAACACATTTACCTATGTAAGAAAACCAAACTTGTACCTTTGAATCTACAATAAAATTGAAAAAATAGAATAAATGTATTTGTTTTTACTAACTTTCATTAGTCAACTGTGCTTACATGAAAGTTAAGCACACATACGTAACCAGAGGTTGACTGTCTGACAAATTTCCATAGATTGGCATGCCAGGAAAACAAGTTTTATAGATTATTCTTTCACTAGAAGAATGCACTCCTATCTTTGGGCAAAAATGTTTTCCTAAACTAGAGGTTTTTTATATTGTGTTTATTGTCAACCACAGTGAAAATACTGTGCTTTTAAAAGATATTAAAACCAGTAAGAAATTTCTCTCTCTAGCTTGTCAAGATAAACACATTAAATTCTAAACTGCTCTGATGTCTGTCTATCTCCACTGGAGGGATGCTGAGCAGAATTAACTCAGACTCTTAGTTCTTGTTATTACACTTCTGCTCTCCTTTCTCTATGGCTGTGTCTAGATTCCAGGTTTTGTGGCATCAGTGTCCTTATATCAGGCTTACTAAAATCTCTTACAAGTAACAGAGAGGCCTCAAAGAAGGGTAAGAGCCCTAAGACAGTGCTAAGAAGTACTGCTCCTAAGTCCCTGAAGGCATCAAACCTTTTACTTTTTCCCCAAAAATATATCTCTGTCAACCAGGGTTACCACTTTTTGTTTCCCCATTGTTCTGCTTCTTCACTGTAGATTTAATATTCATCAAATCTTATAATGACCAGTATCAGAAGCTGAACTACAATTCAGGTTTTTCAACCGTTTTCTGTATGCAAGGCACTATACCAATTTATGGTCTATAATAATAAGGCAAGTTTACACTCTAGTGGAAGAGCAAATACTGACCAAATAAGTATGTATTTAATTAAATTCTTTAATATAAATTTACCTTATTTTTATAGTCCACCTATATATCTCTCTCTGTCTCTATTTCTGTACTTGAGAACTAGCAAAATAGTTTTTTAAACTTCCAAAATGCATCCTTGCCTGAGGTTCAGTGTATATGACTGAATTTATAGAACATGTTGAATCTTTGATCTAATAATGTTCCACAATAATACTGATGAAAATGATGAGTTTTATTGGAAGAAGTGGTGAGTTCTTATGCAAAGACCCTATGTGGGTCCCAATCCCTTAGACGCTACATTGCTGAAGAATTTTAGTTTAATTGGAAATCATCTGTGACCTTGCCATTGTCAGTCTTGTTTTGGCAGGTCTAATTAGGGACTAGTTAGTTATAGTGCTGCCTAAATTTGCAATTATTGACATGGTCAAATAAAGAGGGAAAAAAGTAATTTGTAATGTAAAAGTCAAATAGGCATTGGTACAATGAAAACTAGGCTCCAGAATGTGGTTCCAGTGAATTCTTTGAATACAAGGTATCAAGGAAAGAGTCATGAAGACCTCTATCAAGAGAATGAGATGAAACTGGCTTCTGGGTCTTTCTTGTTAGCCTGACTATGGAAATATTAACAAATGGCCAGATTATAGGAGCTACTGGTAACCAGCAGCTCTCCTGGACTTATCCTGACTAGTTCTGGGACAGACACAGATAGGCCTGGGGGTTGGAAATGTGTTTGTTGAAGAATGTACATTCTTTTTCTGCCTTGTCCTTATCCTTCATACTATACTTCCTATATCCTGGAGATGAGCAGTAATACATATTGAGCAGTTTCTATTGCCAATGTTTGTTGTACAAATTTGCCATCATAGGGAACATTGTCTCCTTTGTCCTGAAACAGATTTTTTTCTCATACTTATATGTAAAACACTGAAGTTTGACTTTGGCTAATTCTGGCAATGGTGCAAAAACAAATGTGAAAAGATAACGAATCCAACTGACTTTTGCTTGCTTTTTCTTTCCCCTACGCTCACTTTACCTTCAACCCCTCATCATGTGGAATGAACCTCTTCAGCACCTGCAGAAGGAGTCTGAGATCTCAGAGGGAGCATGCATACTACTTTGATCTAATAATTTTAAACAATAAAATTGAGGAAAATGATTAGACATCTGGAAGAAGCTGGTGAGTTCTTATGCGCAGACCCTACATGGGTCCCAATCCCTTAGATGCTGCACAGCTGAAGAATTTTAGTTTAACCAGAAATCACCCCTTACCTTGTCATCATCAGTCTTCCTTCAGCAGATCTAACTAGAGACTAGTTGTTACAGTGTTGCCTACATTAACAATTGTTGATATGCTCAAAAATAGAGGAAAGAAAAGTAATGTAGGGAGACCATGTATTTTAAAACTAGTTCTCCTACACTTTAATTAAATGTATACTTAAATGTATAAAATTATATAATTAATTGGAATGATTAGACATAGTTAGAAATCATAGCTTTCTATTGTCAAGTCTCCAATAACTGCACAAAAATGGCTGCTGCTTTCCACAATCAGTTTTATTAATAATAAAAAGTTGTCTTGAGCTGAGAACACTACATTCTTTTTACAGTATGATTTTACAGATTAAAAGGTTTTTCGTAACTGATATGAAGAAGTGATAAAAGTTATAACTTCTTAGAAACTTTTTTGTAAGACTAGTATTTTACATCCTTTCATGTAACTTCCAGATAAGATAATATCATCTCTTTTCAATATTCTGAAAGTCTTCTAGGTATATAAAGTTGAGTCTTGACTAATGCATATCAGAGTACTATGTGCCTGTACCAAAGAAAAAAAAATCTGTCGTCTTTTAAAAAATATACTTCCTGGCCTGGCACGGTGTGGCTCACACCTGTAATCCCAGCACTTTGGGAGGCCGAGGCAGGCGGATCACGAGGTCAAGCGATCGAGACCATCCTGGCTGTGGTGAAACCCCATCTCTGCTAAAAATACAAAAATTAGCCGGGTGTGGTGGCACGCCTCTGTGGTCCCAGCTACTCGGGAGGCTGAGGCAGAAGAATCACTTGAACCCAGGAGGCGGAGGTTGCACCGAGCTGAGATTGCGCCACTGGACTCCAGCCTGGTGACAGAGCAAGGCTCCATGTCTCTCTCTCTCTCTCTCTCTGTCTCTTTCTCTCTCTCTCTCCATATATGTGATGTGTGTGTATACATATATATGTATATACACTTCATAACCTTATTCTATAAATAAAATATGTAGTTTTTTAATCAAAATACATTATATGGCACACTCAGTAGAAGTAAAATGTTCTATAACTAAGCTGTAAACCCATACACACCTGTTAAACTGGGGAAACATTTTAAATAACTGAGTTTTACTATTAATAATTATATAGTGAAATCTATTTGTAACTTTTTCTCAGTTTCAGTTTTAGAAGGTTCTCCTGTTTGTTGGTTTGTTTTAAGACACACTCTCCCTCTGTTGCCTATACTAGAGTGCAGTGGCACAATCTCAGCCCACTGCAACCTCCGCCTCCTGGGTTCAAGAGATTATCCTGCCTCAGCCTCCCAAGGAGCTGGGATTTCAGGCTCATACCACCATGCCCAGCTAACTTCTATATTTTTAGTAGAAATGAGGTTTCATCATGTTGGCCAGGCTGGATGGGAACTTCTAACTGCAAGTGATCCACCTGCCTCAGCCTCCCAAAATGCTGGGATTACAGGCATGAGCTACTGTGCCTGTCCAGATTTTATCATTTTGGAACTTATTATCTGAAAGGAAAGTTTCAATCAGGCAAAGAAATGCAGATTTTTAATTAATTTTTTTCACTGCAGCTTCAAATTCTTGGGCTTTAAGTAATCCTCCCTCTTCAGCCTCCCAAGTAACTTGGACAGCAGGCAATAGCTACTGAACCCAGGTCAGATTTTTGACCTTCTAACACCAATCAGTTTAGGCATTAGCTGTCAAATGCACTATTCCAAATGATGCATTTATTAAACAATACAAATTTAAAATTAAGATAGCAGGAGAGTTTCAGCAGTTTTAAAAATATAGTTACTCATGTGTTCAATAATTAAATCTTGTTAAATCCTTCATTTTATTATAGATACATGTAGTTTTCCCAGCCAATACTCTTTTTTTTTTTTTGGTATTTTTTTTTTATTGCATTTTAGGTTTTGGGGTACATGTGCAGAACGTGCAAGACAGTTGCATAGGTACACACATGGCAGTGTGTTTTGCTTCCTTTTTCCCCTTCACCCACAGTTGTCATTTTTCCCCAGGCTATCCCTCCCCAGCTCCCCAACCCACTGGCCCTCCCCATTTCCCCCCAATAGACCCCAGTGTTCAGTACTCCCTTCCCTGTGTCCATGTGTTCTCATTGTTCGTCACCCACCTATGAGTGAGAATATGCGGTATTTCATTTTCTGTTCTTGTGTCAGTTTGCTGAGAATGATGTTCTCCAGATTCATCCATGTCCATACAAACGACATGAACTCATCATTTCTGATTGCTGCATAATATTCCATGGTGTATATGTGCCACATTTTCCCAATCCAGTCTATCATCGATGGGCATTTGGGTTGGTTCCAGGTCTTTGCTATTGTAAACAGTGCTGCAATGAACATTCGTGTGCATGTGTCCTTATAGTAGAATGATTTATAGTCCTTTGGATATATACCCAGTAATGGGATTGCTGGGTCAAATGGAATTTCTATTTCTAAGGCCTTGAGGAATCGCCACACTGTCTTCCACAATGGTTGAACTAATTTACACTCCAACAGTGTAAAAGTGTTCCTTTTTCTCCACATCCTCTCCAGCATCTCTTGTCTCCAGATTTTTTAATGATTGCCATTCTAACTGGCGTGAGATGGTATCTCAATGTGGTTTAGATTTGCATCTCTCTGATGACCAGTGATGATGAGCATTTTTTCATATTTTGTTGGCCTCATATATGTCTTCTTTTGTAAAGTGTCTGTTCATATCCTTTGCCCATTTTGAATAGGCTTGTTTGTTTTTTTCCTGTAAATCTGTTTGAGTTCTTTGTAAATTCTGGATATCAGCCCTTTGTCAGATGGGTAAACTGCAAAATTTTTTCCCATTCTGTTGGTTGCCGATTCACTCTAGTGACTGTTTCTTTTGCCGGGCAGAAGCTGTGGAGTTTGATTAGGTCCCATTTGTCTATTTTGGCTTTTGTTGCCAATGCTTTTGGTGTTTTGTTCATGAAGTCCTTGCCTACTCCTATGTCCTGAATGGTTTTGCCTAGATTTTCTTCTAGGGTTTTGATGGTGCAAGGTCTTATGTTTAAGTCTTTAATCCATCTGGAGTTAATTTTAGTGTAAGGTGTCAGGAAGGGGTCCAGTTTCTGCTTTCTGCACATGGCTAGCCAGTTTTCGCAACACCATTTATTAAACAGGGAATCCTTTCCCCATTGCTTGTTTTTGTCAGGTTTATCAAAGATTGTATGGTTGTAGATATGTTTTGTTGCCTCTGATGCCTCTGTTTTGTCCCATTGGTCTATATCTCTGTTTTGGTACCAGTACCATGCTGTTTTTATTACTGTAGCCTTGTAGTATAGTTTGAAATCCGGTTGGGTGATGCCTCCCGCTGTGTTCTTTTTGCTTAGAATTGACTTGGCTATACGGGCTCTCTTTTGGTTCCATATGAAGTTCATGGTGGTTTTTTCCAGTTCTGTGAAGAAAGTCAATGGTATCTTGATGGGGATAGCGTTGATTCTGTAAATTACTTTGGGCAGTATAGCCATTTTCACGATATTAATTCTTCCTAACCATGAACATGGAATGTTTCTCCATCTGTTTATGTCCTCTCTTATTCGTTGAGCAGTGTTTTGTAGTTTTCCTTGAAGAGATTCCTTACGTTCCTTGTGAGTTGTATTCCTAGGTATTTTATTCTCTTTGTAGCAATTGTGAATGGCAGTTCGTTCTTGATTTGGCCTTCTTTAAGTCTGTTATTGGTGTAGAGGAATGCTTGTGATTTTTGCACATTGATTTTATATCCTGAGACTTTGCTGAAGTTGCTTATCAGTTTCAGGAGTTTTTGGGCTGAGATGATGGGGTCTTCTAGGTATACTATCATGTCGTCTGCAAATAGAGACAATTTGGCTTCCACCTTTCCTATTTGAATACCCTTTATTTCTTTTTCTTGCCTGATTGCTCTGGCTAGAACTTCCAGTACTATACTGAATAGGAGTGGTAAGAGAGGGCATCCTTGTCTAGTGCCGGATTTCAAAGGGAATGCTTCCAGTTTTTGCCCATTCAGTATATTAGCTGTTGGTTTGTCGTAAATAGCTTTTATTACTTTGAGATATGTTCCATGGATACCGAGTTATTGAGGGTTTTTAGCATAAAGGGCTGTTGAATTTTGTCGAATGCCTTCTCTGCATCAATTGAGATAATCATGTGGTTTTTGTTTTTGGTTCTGTTTATGTGGTGAATTACGTTTATAGATAGACTTGCGTATGTTGAACCATCCTTGCATTCCCGGGATGAAACCTACTTGATCATGATGGATAAGTTTTTTGATTTGCTGTTGCAATCAGCTTGCCAATATTTTATTGAAGATTTTTGCATCTATGTTCATCAGGGATATTGGCCTGAGGTTTTCTTTTCTTGTTGGGTCTCTGTTGGGTTTTGGTATCAGGATGATGTTGGTCTCTTAAAATGATTTGGGAAGGATTCCCTCTTTTTGGATTATTTGGAATAGTTTCAGAAGGAATGGTACCAGCTCCTCTTTGTGTGTCTGGTACCATTCCTTTTGAATCCATCTGGACCTGGGCTCTTTTTGTGTGGCAGGCTCTTAATTGCTGCCTTGACTTCAGACCTTGTTATTGGTCTATTCATAGTTTCAGCTTTCTCCCTGTTTAGGCTTGGGAGGACACAGGAGTCCAGGAATTTATCCATTTCTTCCAGGTTTACTAGTTTATGTGCATAGAGTTGTTTGTAATATTCTCTGATGATGGTTTGAATTTCTGTGGAATCTCCAATAATCTTAGATTTTGGAATTTGTTGCTGATTCTTTAACTAACAGAAGACCAGGGAATGAACAACAGTTGGCAGGACAACACAATAATCTAAAATAGCATAGTCCGGCTCACTTCCAGAGTGGCTTCTGCTCCCTCCTGCTTTATCCTTGACATAGGAGAACAATCATCTCATATAAATTTAGAAATTGTTTCATGATTTTAACTATCCTCCTGCTGTCAGAGGTATTCAAACCAGAGAATGGATTCTTTCTTTTTTCTTTCTTATATCCTGGAAATTTCTTTGTCCTGAGATGTGGAAGGAAAAAAAAAAAACCATTCTCATAAGCTGCCTCAAAGCTTGGCTCCATTTTGGTAAGTGTCTCTCATCACTGTGTTTGCCAGATATCATTAATAAACCCATTTTAATTTCTAATCTTATGCTTTTCAGAAATAGGCACATAATTTCCCTGACCTCCCATGTCACTTTCAGCTAGCCAAAGTATGATGAGAGAGCTCAGTCTAGGTGAGGGCTCTTAATTCCTAAGAGAAGCCAGAAATATCTTGCAATGGTAAGCAAAAAGTTCTGAGACGAGAGCATTGGTTCATTCTAGGACAAAGGTGGCAGTACATGAGGGCACTAAGAAATAATTTGAACCAGAGAATCCATATGAAGCCCCATGTTTTTTACCCCAGTCAACACCTAAACTTTATCTAGGTCCAATAAAACCTCACAGTTTAAATGTACCTACAATGAGCTTCCTAGACCTTCAGCCTCCTTCCTTTGGTTAGCGAGTAAAAAACAAAAACTGACCATCCAGTTTGATAGATGATGATCACATCCTCTCTGAGAGCAGTTTCTAGTCTGTTAGCACCCCTGCACCTGGCATTGACAATTCTTGACACTCTATGGCATGATCGAAGATGATGATGATTGGGAAATGATTCAGAAGAATGACTGATGCTCCCCTTACCCAGATTGCTCCTGGCTTGGTCACATGGAAAGAGAACATTATTTTCCAGGAGAACACAATGGTTGACGATTTGACCTCAGGAACAAAGGCAGAGAATATCACTGTCATCTTTGCCATCCCTCCAACACAACGGGAAGGTGAAAAATTATTTAGAGAAGTGCTGGTAGTACCAAGGGACAGGTTCTTACCCTCCTGTGCCAATGTTCCTCACTGGTGACAAGGAGCACTAATAGCACTAATCTCCTAAGTTTAAGATGAAATACAACATCTTAAGAATGCCAGAAACATTCTGTATCTTGATCTAAGAGTGAGTTTGTAACAACAGCGTATTTGCCAAAGTCCATGGAGCTATTTATTGTAACGTTTTATAATACAGTACTTTTGGGGAAAAAGTGATCTACAAAATACCTCTGGTAAAGAGAAAATGCATGCATAGTAAATGCACAGCTCAAGGAATTATGAGATGAATGTGTATCTGTGAACTACACCTTCAAAAAGAACATCGGTTATTGACATCATAAAAGCCCTCTTTGTTAATATCCCCTCAAGGCATCTCTAACCCTGGTTTTAACATTTAAACTTTCTATGTGGAATCATACATTATGTACCATTTTGTCTCTGACTTCCTTGGCTCATCAGGCTGAGACTTCACAACATACCAATTCTCTTGAATATGATATGGGATGGGGACAGGGACGTGCTACATAGAGAAAGGTGGGGTCCCTGGAGAGGGCTCCACCCTCAGGCCTGTGGCCACAAACCTAGGTGAGGACTGGCACTCCTGTGTTCACACTCAAATGTTGCATTTGCCAAGACCACCCTGGCGCACTACGCCTCCCATCCTGTGCCTATAAAAATCCCTAGACCGTAGCAGGGACACTCACAAGTGGCTGGATGTCAAGAAGAACACACTGGCAGAAGAACACACAACAGGCCATGGACAATAGAACAATGCAGACACCAACGGAAATTCAACCAAGGATGGTGAAAGTAGAGTCTGAACTCTGAGTGGCCCAACTCCAGGGGAAGACCACCTTCCCACTCCATCTCTTTTCTGGCTCGCCATCCATGTAGTGAGAGCTACTTTCCCTGCTCAATAAAACCCTGCACTCATTCTCCAAGCCCATGTGTGATCTGATTTCTCCTGTGCACTAGGGAAGGAAACCCATGATACAGAAAGTCCTCTGCTCTTCTGATAAGGCAAAGGGTCTGAGTGAGCTGATTAACACAAGCCACCTGCATATGGCAAAGCTGAAAGAGCAGTCTGTAACACACGCCCAGTGAGCTTCAGGAGCCATAAACATTCAACCTTAACCAAGGCCAGGGGGTTGGAGCCCACACGCTCCACAATCTGCCTGTCTGCTTGCTCCCCTGACAGGTTTGAGCTTCAGGGCACTCAAAGAAGTGCCACTTCTCCTGTGTAACGCCCTGCCAGGGAGATAGGGAAACTTTTCCTGTTTCAACTGGGGACTCATCTGAGATCCCAGAAGGTGAGCGAAAATGTGAAGATCTGCTTCTTTTCCAAAACCCTGCCACCTCTCTTTCTTACAGATGAAAGGATCTGTTTCCCTTCAAGGAGATTTAACTGCCCTAAGTGGGCTGGTCAAACCCCACCTTTGTCTCTTTTCTCTTTCTCGTGGTTTGAAATGGCTGTTAACACGTCCTTTATAACGTTAAGGGTTTTGCTACCGGCTGCAGCAATGCTGTTAAGTAAAATGGCTCAGCTGCCAAAAGTGCAAATCTGATGAACTGTCCTTAGAGGTGCCATCTCTGCCACCAGCCTGACAGACGCAAACACACACAGTTCAGGGAGCCTCCCCTTACCTTGTTTCCTCCCCGCACGGGAACCCAGACATGTCCACAGCATGCAAAGGTTGTGTCTAACAGCCATGAGCTGGCGTAGGTGAGAGAAAACCAGGGTGGTAGCCAGGACCTCACAGGGCTGGCAGGCAAGTGCTTCTTGCCTGTCACACCAATGGAACCTTTCCTCCCCTGGCCAAGGAATTCAACCAAGTATGAACCAGAGGAAGCATACAAGGATTAAAGGGACCCACTTGCACAGGGCAAGGAGGTCTTTCCCTAGAACCTCCCCGTTTTGATCCTTAACCTGGTTTTTCTATTTTTTTTCCTTTTTCTGAGTGAGAGGACTCCCACTTCCCAACACTCTATTTCTGATAGGGAAGTTAACAAAGAACCATCCCTTGCTGGCTGACAACTGCAAATTCAGCAGGCCCGTTTGAGACACTACCCAAACAGAAGCAGTCTCTGAAATATCTTTTTTGGTCCCAAACTTCATTCCAAGCCTCCAGCTGAGAACTTAGAAAATAAGCCCAGGTCAGAGGGATCCAAAGTCAGGCAACGGGCACAATGTAAATAGGCAGCACTAATTCCTATTGACTCAACCCCCAACACCATGGAAGGAGGCCATACTCCCATGGCATAAACAGGCCCAGAGAACTCAAACTTTGTCAACAGCAGGGAGAAAGGTGGCACACATGAGGGTGGTTAATTCCTATTCTGCAGGTTTTCCCTGCTCCATGGGTCCACACTGCATTGGTACCTATGGCCAACACCTGCCAAGGTCACTGAGACTGAGGGATAAGTGGCGGAAGGGAAGGGAGGATACTAGCTTTCCTTCTCCATCACACACTCAGTTTTTGCTTCAGCAAAACTGAAGTTAAAGAAATGAGACATGCCTCTATTTCCTGTCTTTCAGAATGGGCAACCAGCTCTCTTCACCACTCCCAGCTTATATTCCTCGGCAGTGTGTCCTGAACCATTGAGACTGCTTTGACCCTCAGAATCTGGAGAAAAATGCCGATGGCCCTCAAAGGTTTGGAGAAATTAAAGACCGGGTTGGCCTTTATAATTCAATTCTATACCATCAATTCAATTCAATTCTATACCACCTGGCAGCTGGAGCGTTTTCATAGACGTGAGAACAGATGGTCTGGCTCTCATATATGCAGGGCTTCTGTGACTGCAAGGCAATCCAGAACTTTGCCAACAGTGTACGATTGATCCAGTCCTCCTGTTTGGCATCTCAGGAAGACTTCAAGGGGCAAGCCTAGGAAATTAAGGATCTGAGTGCCAGAGGCACCCCAGCAGATGAGCAGCTTCCTCCAGCTCTGCTCCTCCAGGTCCACCCAAACCTCCATATCCAGCTTCAGCCTCTCACTTGTCCCCTCCTAGAAATCCTTGCCCTTCACAAGCCCCAGACTCACTCTTGCCCCTCCATCATATTGTGATAACCTACCCTTTGTTAGCCTAACCAGTTCTCTCTTTCTTAGCTGAGAGCTGCACAGACTCTGGGATAGCTTCATGGGCTGGGACAGACTCCCCTTTAGTTTCTTCACTTGCCCATCCCCTCCCCTGACTTCTTCCCTTCCCCTAAGCAGGTAGCTGGGCTAAGCTGACTACAAGCAGACAATGGAGTGTCCTTACTGATAAGATACCAAGTTAAGCTGTACCAGCCTCTCCTAGGGATGTCTCTGCTAATAGTATCAGCCACCCTCCGAACCTGCCCGCTGATAACCAAAAGCCCCTACATCGGCAACTGTTTATCTTTCTGCAACAGTTTACCTTTTAATCTTTGCTTGCTCTGCTTCTGTAAAACTTGCTTTAGCTAGGCTCCCCTTCCCTCCTTTAAGCAAGGCATGAAAACAAACAAAGCCCCTTCTTCAGGGCTGAGAGAATTTGAGCATTAGCCGTCTCTCTCGGTCCCCAGCAAACAGAGGACTCCTGATTCAATCTCAGCGTGTGGTGCTTTCTCTAACTCGCTGGGGTACCACAAAATGCCCAGTGAATCTGGGCCCAGTAAGGTCCAAGTCCCCTTCTCCCTATAAAACTTAAAGCAAATTTCCAGAATCTCACCCAAATATTTGAACTCTCCTGGAAAGATATGTACTTCTGAATCAGTCCCTGATAGGCACTGCTGCTTGGATCTGGGGATGAGCTTTGCATCACACATAGCATCAGGGAATGGAGCAAATACCATCCAAGTGGAAGAGAAGCAGTATCAGTGAATTACCCTAAATGGGATACTCAGTGATGGGATAGTAGACTGGAAGAGGAGACACTTTCAGGTGTGCGTAATGAAAGGCTTAATGTAGGACTAAGACCAAGCATCCCAATTATACTAAGTTGTCCACAACTGACCAAAGATTTGATTGAAAATCTCACTACCTTCTTGGAAAAGCTGAGAGGTCTTGGTCAAGCACACCTCTCTATCCCCTGATTCACCTGAGGGACAGCTAATCCTAAAGGATAAATTTACAACTCAGGCAGCCCTTGATTTTAGGAGGAGGTGGAAGAAATGGTCCCTGGGGCCGGATAGTACATTAGAGGACCCCCTGAAAGTGGCAACCTCAGTCTTTTACAAGAGAGAAATGGGGACCCGAGAAAGAGGCATAAGCTTTAATGACCACCAGGTAAGCCCACAAACACCAGAATTTCCAGGCAGGGTACACCTGTTAACTGCTAAAAATATGGCTACAACAGGTACCTGTCTTCTAAAGTTTAAGTGATCCCATTCGAGATTTAATTTCTTCAGCAATGCAAAACAGCTCGGTATACAATGTTTTTGTTAGTATATTTTACGTCTTAGCTCAATCTTTGGCCCTAAATTTTCCTTCTATGATATGCATTTAAACCATGCATATGTGACCTTATAAAACTTGTTTTGTTTTTCTCTCATGCAGAGGCCACCAAACTCCAAACAGGCAGGCAACCAGAGCCTCAAGACAAGCTAAGAACCCTTAATTAAACAGAGCTCTAGAAGGAATCTGACTGCCGTTTTCCTAAAAACAACGCCCCTGTCAGAAGGAAGCAGCTAAGACTGGTTGTCTCCATGTTTTGATGGCAGTTAGATAGGTGTACCTCTTCAGAGGACAAACATGATACAAGAAGAAGGCAGGGTCCCTGGCAAGGGCTCCACCCTCGTGCCCGTGTACCTAGGTGAGAAGACGTACTCCTGTGTTCACACCCAAATCTTGCATTTTCCTAGAGCACCCTGGCCTGCCACAGCCGCCACCCTGGCCTATAGAAACCCCAAGACCATAGTGGGCACACACGCAAACAGCAGGGACATCAAGAGGTACACACTGGCAGATCAAACAGCTGGTGACAGACCACTGACAGTAGGGTGTCTCGATGCCGAGGAAAATTCAGTAGAGTGTGGGGGTCAAATGAGAGAGTCCAGTCACTGAGAAGCTCAGCTGCAGGGGAAGGCCAACTTCCTACTCCATCCCCTTTCTGGCTCACAGCTATCTACTGAGAGCTAC